TCCTTATTCATTGTCCAGCTCTCACATGCATACGAGGTGATTGGAAATATCATGGCTTGTGTCAGGCGCACCTTAGTCCTCAAGCAGATATCCTTGCTCCTCAGCACTTGATACAGTTCCTTCGCAGTTGACTTTCCCAATGCTACACGCCGTCTAATGTCCTGACTGCTGCTCCCGTTGGCATCGATTGTAGAACCAAGCAATGTGAATTCTTTGACAAATAATAACTTAAAGTGAGTTAAGTTAATGTATTGACCTTCCTAGGAGTATTTTAAAGATCAGATGAATCTTATCCAAAGAAAAGAGACTCTAATGGTAGAATGTCAGGCACTGTGTCACTTCAATTTTTTGGAATATTGGGTTATTTGTATGTGTGTGTGTGTGTGTGTGTGTATTCAGAGCTCTGATTAATGCACACTCCCTAAGGAGCCACTGAGCTGGCTTTGCTTCCTTGCTGTACTTGCTAAAGCAGGCAGGAGTGACCCAGATGTGCCAAGTTCTTTTGGTTGGGACCACATAAACCCATTCTGGGACTATGCGCCAGAAAGGAAAGCTCACTACCAGGCTTTAGGGTTGTCTCACAGAATCCAAAGGCAGAAATGTAGCTAATCTCTCTACACGTGCAGGGAGCACACAGAAAGGCGAGTTTGCATGGCTGCTGCGTCTTTTCTTCTGGAAACTGACTGCCAGGCTGCCCCAACACCTGGGCTTTTTATGCTTAGGTCCAGACAGGTGGTGTTTCTTCCAAGTCTAAATACCAAGTAAGCTTCTTTCATTGGCTTCCTCTGGACCAGGTCTTCACCATGAAAAAACTTGGTGGAATTGCATAGATTCCAGTTCCATAAACTTGATGGAATTACACTGATAATTAAATAAAAAATAAAAATGTGAAACCTAGGTAGCTATGTGGAAAATGCTTAAGTGTTGTTAAATGAAGGAATTAGACTTCAAATCTACTTATATGTATGGTTCCAGATTAGAAAGAGCCACAATGTGATGCATTCAGTGGCTTGTATTAAAGCACTCTGGTGGCATAGTGGATAAGGCATTTGGCTACCAACCAGAAGGTCAGTGGTTCAAACCCACCAGCTTCTCCACAGAAGGAAGATGGGGTGATCTACTTCTGTAAAGATTTACAGCCTTGGAAACCCAATGGGGGTCACTACAGGTTGGAATCAACTCAATGGCAGTGAGTTTTGTTTGTTTGTTGGTTTATTGCCGTTGATAATAATTGGCACATGTGTCATGTCGTACGGTTCCAGATACAAGGCCACTGTGGGAAGACATTCTTCACATTGGGAGACAAGTGAACTAGGGTTCAGTGAAGCTGAGTGGTGCAGCTGGTTAACGTGTTCGGCTGCTGATCAAAAGGCTGGGGGTTCAAGGCTGCCCAGAGGCTCCTGGGAAGAAAGTCCTGGCCATCTCCTGAAACATCAGCCCTAACACTCTATGGAGCACAGTTCTGTTCTTACACACAGAAGAGAATGGCACCTGGTTGGTTCGTTTAAACTGAGGGTCAGAGCTGTTGACCCCGCTGTGAGTAAGTGGTGGAGTCAGACTCAAGCTCGCATGCCCCAGGCACCGTATTGTGTTTCCTATTGGAAAGCTGTCCAGAGAAAGAACAAATCAGTGCTGGTGCAGTGGGCATGTTCAAGTTTGAAGACGTCTACAGTGGGAGTTCTGAGCTCATGTATGCTGAGGAACACTACAGGATGCCGGTCTCCTGGGAGATGAACCAGGAGGAGCTACACAGCCCGGGCCCCATTTCTCTGTGTTTGAGAAATGGCTGGGTGCGTGGTCAACCCTCTATGTCAAGTCTTAAGAAATATACCAATATTTATTATCAAATAGTCCGACTGGTTCTGGAGGTGCCCGAGTTTCCATTATTAGAGGTAAGTTTTATTAAAGGAGCCCTCTGCCCCAGCCCTGTCATTTCCAGGATTTTAGGTATCGATTTATCTTTTGTAAAGCCCCTGATTGGAGATGGCTACTACCAGTCTGAAAGCTCTGTGTGGGCCCCAAATGATCCACTTTTTCATTTTCTTAAAGCAGAGACTTTAAGACCAAATAATGGTTGAATGATATAGTACTTACTACTACCTACTAGGGGAGCTCTGGTGGCACAGTGCCTAAGGCATGTGACTGCTAACCAGAAGGCTGGCAGTTCAAACCCTCCAGCCACTCCTCGGAAGGAAGGCTGGTCAATCCACTTCTGTAGTGATACCGCCTTGGAAACCCAAGGGGAGGGGTCGCTATGAGTCAGATCTGACTTGACGGCAGTGCGTACTACTTACCAGCAGGGTCAACAATGTTTGAACATCAGTTTGAACTAACTTAGCAGATGCCGAGTCAGTTCTGACTCATGGTGACCCCCTGTGTAGCACAGTAGAATTATGCTCCATAGGGGCTTTCAGTGGCTAACTTTTTTAGTAGATTACCAAGGCTTTCTTACGAGGTACCACTAGGTGGTCAGTTTACATGTTACGGTTTCTATTTCAAGAACATTGCATTATTTCATTTGCTAAGATAAGAAGAGGGAGGATACTTTTCCCCATGTCAAACACAGGGGATGAACTGTCATTTTTCAAAGGCCTTAAGATATGGGGGAGAAAAACAAGCCTATCTCAGTCTGTGGTAAGGGGACAAACAATCTAGTTCGAGTCCCAGGGCAGCGTCCCAGTGGTAGGGGCTGTAGACAGGCAGGCCCTGTGCTGGAGCTCAGAACAGACTCCAGGCCGTCCTCAACTGGGGTGGTCCTGCTGCTTGGAGATGAAGCTGCAGGTTATCGCGATGCTAATGATGTGTAAATGCATTTCTAACTCGTATGAGGCTGGCCTTTCCAGGTTCATTAGCATTAATATTTATGGTTGGGATGTGTTCCTCCAGAGACAGCAAATAGCTCTCCTGTTTGTTGTTCAGGTGGAATTTATAGCAAGCCGGACTAAGAGGAGGCGCCGAGCCCACACTTGTCCTTCTCTTGGGAAACAAACACTTCAGCAGTGGGTTTGCCTGGGTGTGGATTGTAGCCTATAGGTCCAGGCATCTTTCTCAAGTAGCTCTCTAACTGTGCTGTTAGGAATCCAGGAGGGAGTGTGTCTGCGGCCTCAAGACAGAGAGGCATGGAAAATTCCCCATGAGCAGCCCCTCCCCTGCCGTGACTGGCTCATGGAGGTCTCCTTTCAGCGGTGCGGTCAGTCTCCGATCCCAGCAGAAGGCTGCAGTTCCCTCTGGATGCAAGGGTACACAGGCATGACCTGTGCAACATTCGCTGCCTGGTGGCATGGCCGGGCCTCGCTCCCTGGAAGGAGAGCCCTGGCACTCGTAGCAGTGTCCTCTACAGCTGCCAGAGCTTTCACAGTTTCATCTCAAATGGGGCTTGAAATTTCTAGTGAGGCCGAGAGGAAGGAAGTGGCTTTCCCACGCAGCCATGCATCTGCTGACGGGCCCCGGGTGGGCTGGAGAGCTCTGGGGAGGTGACAGGTTTAGGTACAAAACAATGTGTTGCAGGGTATGGAGGGGTCTCTCAGAGCATGAACCCTCTGATAGGATCTTAAGAGCTGACTCCATCGGCAAGGTCAAGCCCATACCGGCCCACATACCTGATGCTTTAAAGGCCCAGGTGCAGTTCTTACCTGTGAAGTCAGGGGCTCTGGTAGATGACCTCTGTGGTCTTTTCCAGCTCTAAGAATTTGGGACTCTAAATAAATAACATGGACTTCTTCTCATTAGAGTATATTTGGCCATTTGCTTTCTAACAAGATCTTATATGAGAAGTTGTCCCAGAGTGAGTGAGTATCATGGTACCCAGACCCTGATCTTACTGGCCTGAAGGGTGAGCTTGGATCTACTGGGGCACATCTGGTCTCCAAGACATGGGGTGGAATGATGGGGAAGCATTGTGACCTCTCTCAGCTAGATCTTCTGTCGTTACAGTTAAGTCTGAGTCCAATCAGGAGAGGCTCAAGAGGGATGGGGGCAAGTGGCCTGGAGACTCTGAGGGCAGACAAATTTGATACCACCCAGAGGTGGCCAGGTGGAGAATAAAGGCTTCTAAAAGTAGCTACACAACCAAATGGATTAAGAACAAAACAAAAAATAGTTACAATGGATGTTGGGGAAATTGGGTGCGTATTACATATTACTGTATCAGTGTTCAGTTTCTTGTGTGTGATACCTCTGGATTTATCTGGTCAGCCTTACATGTAGGCATCCTTGCCCAAGACTCGTCTCTGGTCCCCTCAGGCAAGTGTGATAGAAGCCAGGCCTACAGAACTTGGCTAGGGACAGGAGGCGGGGTGACTGCGCTACTGCGGCTGTGGAGAACCACACCCTGACCTCCTGCTCTTCCTGAACCTGCCGTGACATCTTAAGTTCCTGGGGGCCTGAGACTCTCTACTCCCTTTGTAACTCCCCTATAATAGCCTTGGTGGCATAGGGGATAAGCGCTCAGCCACTAACTGAAGGGTAGGCAGTTCAAAGAAGTGGAAGTCTGCTTCAGTGAAGATTTACAACCTTGCAAACCTGAAGGGGCAAGTTCTACCATGTCCTGTGGGGTCGCTCTGAATCACAATCAACTTGGGTGGTGTGCATGGGTGTAGCCCCCCCAGGGCTCCACTGCATTTTCTTGATGTTAAGGAAATGGGCAAACTTATACTTCCATACTCACTCCTGGTGAGAGTTACTTCTCGACTAAAGGAAATACTGTAAGAAAGCTCCTTCTCGCTAGAATCCTTCTGCTTTGTGTATTATAAAAATATGTGGACATACATGCCAGAATTTATTTATTATATACCTAAGGTACAATTTTAAAATATAGTCAAAAAGGACTAAATGAGACATGAAGAAAGGTTCATGTGAAAATAGAAAAGAATGTCCGAAAGAGCAGTGAAACAGCACTACAGACTTAATGAGCATTAGAGAGTGGAGTGGTTCACCCAGCATCACGAAGGCAGACTTGGCTGTAGAGGGTCTACTCACAGGGATTCTGAATGACAATCAGAAGATACTCCTTATCTATGGAGACAGATGGGCAAAATTAATTCCTCTGAAAAATTAATAAATGAGTATTTCAAAACATCGCAGGATTGCACATGACTATGATGTGTGGCTGGGTGAGAACATATGTAGAACAAGCTTTATCAGTTGACGGATAATCCTCATCTTACATGCTACAGAGAAGTCCGCTGTAGGTTAGATTTAAGAGCACTGGGTACTGTTTTGCAATGACATCTAATAACCCCGTAAATGTATTTCCTGCCAGAACAGACGTGTCTCTGTGGCTGCTGCCTTCTGGTAGACCAGGTGGATGTGGGTCTGAGGCCCTAGAGACCTTTCCTCTACATCTTTATCTCTGACTCCTCCCCCAAACTTCATTGCTATGGCAGGACACCTTTCTCCCCATCTCCAGAGAGTCTGTGTGCTCAGTTCATTAAATGTGAGATCTTTATTTTAAACTTTTCTGATTACTAATGATAAGTGCATGTGGGCAAAATCCAGCCTGTTCAAAGGTCAGATTCGTTGCTAATTTCACAGAATTTTCAAGTTGGAATTTTCAGATTGAAATTCCTTCATTTTCCAAATTGAAGACTATTGCTTTTCCTGTTGCATATTACAGTTGATACCCCACCATCTTGGAAGCAGAAGCTTTCAGCCAGGAAAGTAGAAAGATGCTTTTTCAATATGAGATGAAATGCCAAATTACCTGGAGCAACCATGATTTCGTGTTTCTTTGATCTGATTCTAAGAAAAGTTAGGTCGTTCTGAGGGTCAATGTCACGGACTGTGCTCTTGGCCTTCATGGTCAGCTGATGAAGCAGCCCTGCGTACTGAACTGTTGTTGAGTTGTCCAAGGTGGTTCGGATTGGGATACCTGTGATGAGAGTTCAAAATGTGGGGCTCATTTTTTTTTTTTTCTGATTATAAAGATAATAATGCACATTGTACAAATACTGGAAAGTACTGATAATTAATAAGGAGACCTGGTGGCAAAATGGGTTAGTGCTCAGCTGTTAACCAAAAGGTCGGCAGTTCCAAACCACCACTAGCTCCACAGGAGAAAAAATATGATGATCTTTTTCTATAAAGACAACAGCCTAGGAAACCCTATGGGGTAGTTTGACTCTGTCCTATAGGGTCACTGTGAGTCAGAATCCACTCATGGCACATGACGAAAACATAATTTAATTATAAAGAGGAAGAACAAATAATGGTTGGTATTATGCACTGGTAATAATTTTAGTTTATTTCCTTCCAGTCTTTTTGTAGCTATACATTTTTTTAACTATAGCTGCAATCAAACTGTATTTACAAATTTGACTGTTGGCTTTTCCTTCATTTAGCTTATTGCATGCAAGTTTTCCTTGTTGATAAAGATATCATCAGCATTATTTTTTTTTATTGTTGTGAAAATATAGGTAACATTTGCCAATCCAACATTTTCACTTGCACTATTCAATGAAATGGACATTATTAAAGGTAACATTTCACCATGTTGCAGAAATGTCATAACATAATCGGTCTCCTATTGTTGGGTTCTTAGGTCATTTGCACGTTTTCTTAGTGTGTCAGTGTTTTTGTGCATACTTCTTTTGGAAGTTGTTGATCAGTTAGATTATGACTGTTGTTGTTATGTGCCGTCGAGTCGGCCCCAACTCATAGCGACCCCTCCTTGGGTTTCCGAGGCAGTATCACTATGGAAGTAGGATTGCCCAACCTTCCTTCCGAGGAGTGGCGGGTGGGTTTGAACCGCCAGCCTTCTGGACTAGGTTAACGTATTATTACAACAGATATTCCCCCCAGCATCCTGTCTGCAGTAGCTTGCTTTGCCATGCTTGGTCAGTGACACTGTGCTGGTCTTCCACCCTGAGGCCAGAATTACAAGGGGGCTTCACTGCAGATGTGAGAGAGCATGTCAAAGGTCTTTTGGGGGTTTCTTTCTAACTCTTCACACCGTGTAGTGCCTAAGGCACTTGACTGCTAACCAGAAGGCTTGCGGTTCAAACCCACCAGCCAATCCTCATAAGGCAATGCAACAAATGCAGCCACTGCCATGGAGTCGGATCCGACTCATAGCGACCCCTCCTTGGGTTTCTGAGGCGGTATCACTACGGAAGTAGATTGCCCAACCTTCTTTCTGAGGAATGGCTGGTGGGTTTGAACCACCCATCTTCTGGAAGGAAGGTTGGGCAATCTACTTCCATAGTGATACTGCCTTCGGAAACCCAAGGAGGGGTCGCTATGAGTTGGGTCTGACTCGATGGCTTGTAACAACAAACAATAACCTCACACCATATTTTGTAAGCCTTCAATTATATATACATATATACATATACATATATACATATACATACATATACATATATATATACATACATA